GAATACCAAGCTATGGCTCAAGGTACTTGTGAGCTCCTTTGGCTTCAATCAATTTTGGGAGAGTTGGGTCTTGTAGAGAAAGGTTCTTCAAGGCTGTTTTGTGACAATAAATCAGCCATTATGCTTGCTTCCAATTCAGTTTTACATAAAAGGTCGAAACATATTAAAGTAGACATTCACTTTATTCGAGAAAATATTCGATCAGGTATCATTAATCCTATTTTTGTTCCCTCTTCAAAACAGACTGCAGATGTGTTCACAAAGTCTGTTGGGCCTTCTCTTCTCCAGTCTTCCATAGTCAAGTTGGGCTTGGTCAACATATTTGCTCCAGCTTGAGGGGGAGTATTGGAAATCATATCTATAAGTTGACTCAATGATTATGGCAGATTTATTGGGTCTTCATTATAGACTAATCTTTAAGGATTTTATTTTTATTCTGATTTGATTTTATTCTCTTTATTCTGATTTGATTTTATTCTCTTTTCCATATTTGTAATTTTACTCTTGTATATAATGATAGTCAGGCTCTCAAATTGAATATGTCAATTTTACCAAGTTACTTTTGAAATAAAAATATATAAGACATAAAAAAGAAAAATAGTATATGTGAGGTGGTCAAGTATATAAACAAACCAAAAAATATTATAAATGAACATATTTGTATTCTTATTTTTTTCATTTATATCCTACATTTACAACAGCGTATATTCTCACATAATTTTACTAGCTATGTTTAAAACGAAACCGGGATGTTGCTTCTTTTTTTTTTGTTTTTTTAAGCTATGGGTGAAACAAATAAGTGCATCATTAATTTGATTTATAAATTTAAAAGTCGAAAGTATATTTTAACCATATAATTACCTAGTATATTCAATTTAAAATTCTTTAATGAATTTTTATGTCTTTTTTTTTTTTGGTTAGATCGAGGTATTTGTTGGTATATCAGAAGGTAATATGAAAAATACACATAGTTCTTGATTGCTTTGTGAAATAAATCCCTTCCAACAATTTGAATTTGTTTTATTTTTAAGTAATGCTAAAAATATATTAAAAAAAAAAAAGGATTGGTTTTTGGGCGACTTCAATTGATATAGTAATAGGCGCTCTTGTCATTTAAAACACAAAATATAATTCCTCTCAAAGTATGGTCAAATCATTCAGTAATAAAAATCAATTGTGAAACATATCGTTTTATTTTATTATTACACTGTAGTTATTATATTTTAGTCAGAGGTGCTTATTCTTCTACCATGGAATTACAACAAAATAACATATAGTTCATGACTGTTCGAGAAATCAACCTTAAAATAAATTAAAAATATTAAAAAGAAAAAATCAGTTATGCTATAATCAATGGGTTAGTGGTCTAACGGTATCCGTCTCTTGCCTTCCAAAGAGAGGTCAGAGGTTCAAGTCTCAGAAGAGTGTCCATGAGTACTAACTAGAAAAAAAATTAGTTATGCTATATTTAGTGGGAGGGAGGGATGGATGAAGTTTTTGGTGTTTGGTTGGAAAGAAGGGAAGAGTGGGAGGAAGCAAGGAGAGGATGAAGCATCCCTCCTTTCTTCAATTTTTTTTATCTGTCCAATTTTGGGTTAAGAGAGGAGAGAGAAAATAAATAACTATCTACAAATATACAATTTTCAATTTTAACCTCTTAAAAAAAATTCAAATTAATATCTACATTTTATTATTTTATAGAGTGAGGGTATATTAGTAATATATATATATATATATATATATAATATTTCTTTTCCTTCCAACCAAAAAAAAAAAAATAATGTATCACTCCATTCATTCTTTCTACTATCCATTTTATTCAATCAAATAAAAAATGGAGAAGATACTTTCCATTTCTTAGGAATTCCCCATCCATTCCTCTCATATCTCTTTCATCCATTTTTTCATCCCTTCAACCAAACGAAATATTAGAGACCAAATCAAATTGTGTGTACATACTATGAATTCAACTTGAAAGGGCCAATAGAGCTCAACCAACCTCTTATTGGATTTGGGCAATGAATAAGAAGGGGATTTTGTGCCTTGGTCCAGTATTGATAAAGAGTAGTTGTTGGACAAGCAAAGCACAGGCTGAGCTGACCGACTCAAAATAAAAAATAAAATAAACAAGAAGTTTGGATTGAGTTCGGGATTGAAATGAACTAGGGTTATATATTCCGTATTGAGCTCGTTTGAGGTGGCCATTTGGATAACTCTAGTGTGTGTGTGTATATATATTTAAGTTAAAAAAATAAAAAATAAAAAATGGGAAGTAGTAGTTAAATGTTAATATGGACACGTTAAAGTCTCATGGGATGGACAGGAAATTGAATTATGTTTAATGAATGCACCACTGCAAGTTTTGCATGCATGCATGCATGCCATGCATATGTATATATATCCTATACACAGAGTTGCTGTAATGTGGTTGCATTAAAACATTTGAATTAGAATTAATTCCATCATCTCTTTGTTAGGACAGACACAGAGAGACAGACAGTCCCACTTAAATGTCATCATAGTATAGAATATGGACCGCATTGTAACTATCTTTTCATTTGTGGTCATCCCTCTGTTCCTCTGTTGTCGAGCTGTTAACATTTCCCTTTCTCACAATATGGGATTGCCTTACCATTCTTATTATTGGCTGCAACTTGTCCTTCACAACCATAACCAAAGTTAAGAGAGTCCTTTCCTTTCTTGCCCCTCTATCTCTCTCTCTCTCTCTCTCTCTCTCTCTCTCTCTCTCTCTATATATATATATATATATATATATATATTGTTTGTAGGTGAAGGATTTTAAATCAAATGGTCCACTGCCACCCCCACTTATAACGGAAAGTGACCACACACTTTAGGGGGTTAAAAGGAGAGGGAAAGAGAGTGAGGGTCTGCATCTTCTGAGATCCCTCATTCAATAGATGACAATTCCAAATTGCCATACCATTCTTTTTCTTTTTCTTTTTTTTTTTTTTTTAGTCAATATTGCCACTCAACAACCAATTTAGGTAAGGAATAAAAAATTTTGGTAAAAAAGTTTGCCATATTTTAATTTTAAAATGAGGGGTTAATAAATTCTAAACTTATAAAATTTGTAGTCTTGTAATATTTTCTTTCCTTTTAAAATGTTCGGGTCTCCTAAAAAAATATTGTGATAAGATTATATTGCATCAAAATCAAGCATATCAAGTATTAATTTAAATATTAAGAACTATTGCTGGTTTACTGCATTGGGATTGTTTAGTTCACTTTCAAAGATGTGTGAATTATTTATAAAATATTGAATAGCACGATCTAAACATCCATTTAATAGAAAATCTCTACACAATTTAATTCAGGAGGATAAAATCTACAAATTACCTCAAATCCATGTATGCCAAAGTTCCATTTTGCATGGTATAATATAGGAGAAAAAAAAAAAAGAAAAAAAGAAGAAGAAGATTAATATTATTTTGTAGGCATGTGATTCCATTTGTAATGTTATAGGTCCTTTATAAATTGATAAAGAAGTTTATATATATATATTGGTTAATTGGATCTATTTTTATGACTACAGCAGCATTACCCTTATTTTATTGTCCCGTCCCCTCATTTGTAATTTAGAAAATATTATAATTTGTTTTATAATTGTGAATGATACTACTGTGTTTAGTAGTACCAGTTACAGATGAAAAATTACCGCTGAAAGCTCAATCTACCCGACGTAACTTATATGGGCCCCACCAATACATGTCTGGGCCCACATGATGCTGTGCCTTGCTGATATCAATTTTGAGGAAAAAAAAAAAAAAACACTGAACTATACATTTGTTGCGTATAACTTCATGTGTTACAAAAAAACCCTTGAATTAAGGAAAGGTCACAAACTCCACCGGTCCACCCCTAAAGGGTTTGGCTTTCCCTAGGATGAATGAAAATTTACAATTTTGTCCTTCGTAAAAAATCAAATTACAAAAGGCTCCCAACCTATCATATTTGGCAACCAGAAAGATTTTATCAAACAGCCAAAAATACCTTCCATATCTTTCAAAATAATGTAAAATGCCCCTTTTTTTTTTTTTTTTTTTTTTCATATGGGGGCATCAAGTCTATTATGCTAATTTGTAATGTGAAATGATTGAAGTGTAATTGAACTTTAAAAAAACAAAACTTGCTATTTGATAAAATTGATAATTAAGTATTAAAAATTTTAAGAGCTAAGTTTTTAACTTGTAATTAAAAAATAATTTTTTTATATTTTTTCAAATTTTCAGTATTTAGCATTCAATTATAAGTAATGTCCGCTTACTATTTTCAATGATATTTAAATTATGTTATCAAACACCCTTCAATAAATAAGTACTTAATTTATTCAAAATTACGTATTGAATTAAGTAATCAAATGAGTAATCAAATAACAGCACATAAAATTTCAATAGAGACCCAAGCCAATTAACTACATTTAATACGGTACTATTTTTTGTAGAGTTATTATTTACTTATATGGACATTTTATTTCACATTAGAAATTCATGGAGATTCAAAAGAGTCGTTTTAGCATAGACTTGAAAATGAAAGATGTTTTGACTCAAAAGATAGCTCAGGGATATTTGTGTGAAATATTGATAATTCATGGAGATTTGTTGCTAAAAGGGTAAAATTGTCATTAAAAAAATAATGTAACACTCAACTAGGGGCGTTTTTAAATGACATCATAATAGATAGTGTATTTTGCCAAAAAGAGATGATACAGCTGTATGGGTTGGTTTATGGCATAATTGAAAGATCCAGGGATTTTTATAGCTTGAAGTAATTGAGGGAGATTTTTTTATAATTTACTCAAAATTAAGGGTAAATCAAGAAAATTAAATTTATTTTTTTTTCAAATAAATAAGGATAAAATGGAAATCTTGACATGTAAAAAACCAAATTTTCGTCCATTTCTCACACCAAAAAGAAATAACAATATTAATCCAACTTACACCTTGTGTATATTTTCTCTCCATCCAAACATTGTTTGAGAGATGGGAGAGTTCATGCATCACAGGGGCAAAATTAATTGACTGACATATATTAGTGGGTTAATAATTAAAGGGGTCCCAAAGAGTTACTGCTTCTGCCTAATTTATGACTCTCACCTGTGCCCTGCCTCCTCCTGAACTACAATTTATGAAGCAATTTCTTCTGTTTGTTCTTAATATATATTTCCTTTATTTTATTTTATTTTTATTGGTTATGAGTACTTATTTTCCTTCTTAATTATTACAGTAAAGAAGAATCACAGAGATCATTGCAAGAGAGAGAAAGAGAGTAACACCATACCTGCAAAGTCTTCAGATAAAATCAGTAGAATCAATTCTTCCTTTTTCTCATTTTCTGGGCTGTTCATAATTTTTGCTAGTTGTTTTCATATAAATAAATAATAAAAGAATAAAAGGATATATGCAATTTTTTTTCTCACTGGTGTGAATGGAATCAAGAGGAGAGAGAAAGAGTGTGAAATAATAGAGAGAGAAAGAGTGTGATATAATGGGTGGGGTTTGGTGGGTTATTTCCATCAGAGGCACCTGCCTGCGCGTGAAGGGGATTGGTGGAACCAGGTTCGGCCATCAGAAAGAAGCCAATGCGCCTTTGACGTTATCCACAGCACCTCCCTTCTTCACAGTCAGGCCTGTTTTCTCTTTCCTTCCTCTCTTATGTGCATCATCTTTAGTAGTTTTATATTATATTCTATTATTATATAATATTCATTCTTGAATTCTATCCTCTCTACTTGTATGTGTTCACATGTATGCATGTAAAGGTCATAGACATTGAATTCTCTCTCTCCTTTCCAATGATATATTTGTGGATTGGTTATATGTTGCACCCATTGATTATATCACCTCCTATGGAAGGATTTGAATTATCGTTGTTTTTCCTCTCAATTTCTTTAATTTAGGTTTTACTTTTTTTAATCACTGTAAACTTCTCTACCCTTATCAATCCCCCACACACACAGAAAAAGAAAAAGAAAAAGTCCATATTTATAAATCTGTGTTTTACTACTTTCTAGAAGAATTAGCCAAAGATCATAGAGAATTAGCGTTTGAAGAGAGAATTCTTCTGCATCTTTCAGTTGGAATCATAATGACAGTGTTATTGATCTTTGTGGTTATGAATACTATTTACTCGAGTATTTGTGAAGAACTTAGAGTAAGAGGGTTCTTGTCGGACGTCGGATTTGGATGGGGAAGGTCTTGGGTTTTATAAGGAGGGGTATGCAGCACTTTTGGGTGTGATGGCAAGCGTCTGACTCGTTATAAGTGGTATCGGAGTAAGACCCAATCCTTAATTCAATGTCAGAGGATCAGATCGACTTACAAAGTTTTTTTACTACCCTCGATTAGGGGTTTTATTGAACTCTTTTGCTACTTTTACAATTATCCAAAACAAGAGTCATAGTTTAATCTTGTATTTCAAAGGGGTTTTAATTTTGTGGGTATTGTTTGAAAATTATTTTTTTCTAGGATAAATGGCTACATTTAATCTACCCACCACTATTATACTTGTGAACAAACAGTGTAGGTTTCCACCTCCAATATTAAACATGATTGATCGATTTTGTTGGAGCTGATTGGTTTATTATAATTACAGCAGTAAAAAATTGTTTTTCTTGATTTTATCTGATTTGTTATTTATTGCTGTATGAAAACACTGCTAAACCTCTATTATTAAACCTCATTTGTTGTTTTTTTATTTCTTGTGTGAAGGAGCTGATTGTTTTATTATACTTATATTTTTTCTGATTGGTTTATTATAATTGCAGCAGTAAAAAATTTGTTTTCCTTCACTTTTATCCATGCTAAACCTCCAATATTAAACCTGATTTGATGTTTTTTTTTTTTGGTTTACTATGAGATAATGAGGTGATTGGTTTATTATAATTACATCAGTAAAAATCTGGTTTCCTTCTATCTCATCTGTTATTGCTGCCTGAAAACTCTGCTAAAAGAGGCAGAAGCCATGCCACTGCCACTTCCAAATAATGTGAAACAAAAAATTGATGTGAAAACTATTTAGAGAAAAAGCAGCTAGGAAAGAAAATTTGAAAACAAAAGAGAGGATAGTATGGAGCATTTCTGTCTTTAATAGGCTGTGTAATGCCTTTACAAAAGATCCAAGTTCTCTGTATCTGTTTCATCATCAGACTTAAATCATGTTGAACAATACAAACAGAAAACCTTGGAATTTTTTTATCTTCTATATTTTATTATGTATTATGTATAAAGAAATAGAGAAGGTTACAACAGTAATGAAGATTCTTCTGTCAGTTTATGTTGCCCTTTCTTGATCGTTATAGAGCCTGGTCCCATAGTACAAGCTTGCAGACAAGATACTATAGTACCCTCAAACATTCTTTGCCTAAACTGCCCTCTTGATATTAGTAATCACTTGGTTTGAGAAAAATTGCAATCTAATGAACCATGCAACCAAAAAAACAGCCCCACTGCCCTGTCAACCCAAGAGAATACGCCATTAATATATATATTCATATATATATGTATGTATATATATATATATAACATGCACCAAGGAAGCAGCTTTGGTTACTTTTACTTCATCCCTCTCTCTCATTATTTATTATTTTACTGTTCAAGCACCATGATTCTGCATTTCTTCGATCAACATTCAACCAATTACATGATGATGATTTCCATTTGCACATCCAAATGGTCTGTCTGACTTATATAGGTAGCTAATTAGAATTTAGAACTTAATTTTTTACTTAGGAAGTTTCGTGAAATGATGCTTAAACGGTGGACATAGTGCTAACTGTGTATATTGCCTTGTCTAGAAAGACTGAAGCCTAGCAAACTTGAGCATCTAAATTCTACTGGTTTAATTAGGAAAATTGTGCAGATAACAAAGTGGTGAATTTAAAATAATTCAATTTGGGCAAGTCCTCAGTTTGCATGAGCTTGAGTTCATGTGACAAATCCTCATGATTGGATCAGTTTTTGATCATTTTCTCATGGTTTTTTAAGATGTTTACATATATATTATGTAATGACTAGAATGGTCAAACTAAAAATAATTTTGTTAGACTCAGTCTGTCAAGTGGATGTGGTGCTGATGAGGTGGGATATGGAACTGATCCATTTGACTAGACTGGATTGTATTTGTGTGCTGGCGTTTAATAGGAAGAGAAATGTAAATTAATTGTTCAAGACCTCCTAACTACCCATTTAAAGCAGGTAATAAAACAGTAACAACCTGCGGTTTGCCAAAACAAGGAAAAATCCAAAAGAATTTAAAACCCCTAGACTGTCGCCAGCTATTTATAACACCCATGAGACCCTCGGACTCTCTCTCTGCATTGTGTACTTTGGCCTTACAGAGAAATAGAAACCATGATTCTCCCAACCGACCTTCTTTCTACCTTCCACCACCCCATTTCCTTCTGATAACTTGATAGACTGCCAAACAAGAGAGAGAGAGAGAGAGAGAGAGAGAGATGAGGGGGAAATCTTCCTCAAAGCAAGGGAGCAAAGGAGGAATTGAAATAGACAAGATTGATAAGATCAAAGAAGAGCCTCATCTCTCTGGTGCTTACATCCGTAACCTTGTTAAACAGCTAACTTCTTCCAGAAACAAAGATCCTATGAACACCAATGAACCTGACTCCGCAGACGGAGGAGATGGGTTCCCTAGCCACCACCAAAATTTAGCTAAATTTGGGGATGATTTTAGTGTTTCCCAACAATCACAGCCACCCCAGCAACCTCAACAACACAAAAAACAAGTTCGTAGGAGGCTCCACACCAGTAGGCCTTACCAAGAGAGGCTTTTAAATATGGCCGAGGCTAGGAGGGAGATAGTCACGGCGCTTAAGTTCCACAGAGCAGCAATGAAACAAGCAAATGAGCAAAGACAAACATCACCGCCACAACCACAACCACAATTCCAACCGCAGCCACAACCATTGCAGCCTCAACTGCAGCCGTCTTTGGAACAAGAAGGAAAGATAAAATCGAGGAGAAATCCCAGAATTTACCCATCCAGCACCGCCAGTTACTCAAGTTATCTAGACAATCTCTCCTACTCCACTTTCACTTGCCCTTCACCTTCTCCAAATCTTTACTCCTGGTCTTCTACAATTGCTTCTCCACCTACTTGTGAAAGTCTCAATCTCACCCTCCCTAACCAGACCTTAGGCTTGAATCTCAATTTTCAGGACTTTAGCAACTTAGACGCCACTCAGGACCACAACAACCCATCAATCTATTACTCATCTTCATCTCCATCATCTTCTTCTTCACCCACTTTTTCTATTGCTACTGAAGATGTCCCTTCCTCGGGAATATCACAAGAGGGGCTTCCTGCTGGAGTGCCTGATGTTGCCAACTCCACTGTCATGCCCGGAGGAGACTTGGGCTTACATCCAGCATTGGACGATGAGGAGATGGCAAAGATCAGATCAATAGGAGAGCAGCATCAGATGGAGTGGGATGACACCTTGAATTTGGTCAGATCAGCATGGTGGTTTAAATTCCTGAGGACGATGGAAATTGGCCCGGAGGAGAAAGCTGAAGACAATGGTTACCATCCCTTTGATGAAGTCATGGAATTCCCAGCTTGGTTGAATGCAAATGAAAGTTTCTTGCAACAACATTTGGACGAACACTGCTCAGATGACTACTTGCAAGACCCTGCCTTGCCATGGTAAGGACTTTGTTCTTTTGCTTGTTTATTTATTTATTATTATTATTTAAATAATAAAAAGAGATGCTTTCTGTTCCTAGGTTTCTCTCTATACCATGCTTGGTTGTTTCTCATTTTTAATATTTCTTTTACCTTCTTGACTTCTTTAATCAAATCAATTCGGGACTTAGTTTAGAGCCCTGTTGTACTCTTCTTTTAGCTGCTAGCTATTTATCATAGAAAAATTCGTGAAAAAATGCAATACCAACAAGCTTAGAATTAATGGATTGTAGTTGGGTCCCACAATGTATGTATCCATGGGTTAGACTATGTGTATGGTATAACTCTTCTGCCTTTCATCCAGTTACATATTTTTAGACACCGAGGAATACTGAATGATGAAACTGGAAGAGTTGCACTTAATTTTCTGCTATTGGGTCATTTGAGTTTGGCTTTTTTTGACATAGCAGCGTTCAAAATGACATTTGTTGTGGGTTGTTACTAAAATATGGACATTCGATGGTCTGCCATATCATCAAAGTTGGTTCACCTTTTGTTTAGTTAAGTTCAATGATGGTTGTGCAATGTGCATTCACCAAACTAATAAGGGGCTTACTGTTGGTTGGATAAATAGGAGCATATTAGGGCCAACGTTGTGTTTTATCTACACAATCTTATAGATCTAACTAAGATTGGGAAGGCTAATCCAAACAAACTGCTAATGTTGTGAAGCCTGGCCTCAATGAAATTTTATTGTAATCCAGGCGTAAGCTTACACAAGAAGAAAGTAAAATGTGCGATTAACAAACCGATGGGGGAAGGGATCTACAATGTGCTCTTCTTCACCAGTTTCTTTAGGTCCATTTTATTGACCTAGGGGGTAAAGAAAAAGAAAGGAAAAATTCCTCATATTTCTTCACTGCTTAAACAAAATAAAATTTTCTATAAGAATTTGGGAATCAGGAAATAAGAAAAGGGAAATTACATGTGAAATTTTAGTATTTCCCTTGCTTTCTCTCTATTTCCATAGTAATCAAATAATGAAAAACAACTCTCTTTGCACTGTCTTTTTCTCTGTCACACTAAATCAGCAAACCTAATAGAGCCTAAAAGACTGGAAAATTGTATAGGTCCATGAATAATATGGTCATCTTTTTTAAAGATTGAAGCATTAAAGAGCCCGACCATGGCCCATATAGGCTGATCATAGGCATTCTTTCAAATGCTGTGTTGCTTTCTGTAGCACTTAAGGTTTCTTTATAGCTTCTTGTGCCATAGATTGCATTATGTCATGACTGGACAATTTTTAAGGATTTTAATGAGGTTACTAATTCTGTTTTCTTCTTTCTTCTTTCTTTTGTTGTTGTATATGCAGCATGGACATCGGAGAATTTGAAGGAATGGATGTGGACTGGTTATCCTGAGAAAGATTGATTGTTTTTTTACCTAATCAAATCTTTTGCCCCTCCTTTTGGAATTTCTTTTCCTAGTCTTTGAAATTTCTTTTTTGAATAAGGCTTGTGGATTTGTGAAAGTTGACAAGCCACGGGGGAAAAATAATATGAAGAAGAATTGATTATATGCACTATCTCCTTTTTGAGTTTTATTAATTAGAATTTCGTTTTCTTTCCGATCTTCCAATTTCTCCTATGAATGTTTGGTAGCTGGCAAGCTGCACATTTTGTACAACTATAAACTCTGTTCAGAATCTAAAATTATGCCCTCAATTCGTTGAATATTTCGAATGAAAGTTTGAAAGGCATTCTTGAGGTTTCCTGATGTGAAAGAACTCACATTGTGGCCCAAAGATTAGGTGATTACTAGTATATGTTTATTTCAATCTTCTCTATCTGTGTTTTTATATAAATATTTAGATTTAGTTTGATAAGGTTTCTGGTTTTTAAATGTGGAATGATAGGGCTCAACATGCAAGTATTTTAACAAATTTTAACTTAGGCAAAATTTATTGAGATGATATCAGATTTATGTTGCACTTAATTACCTCTTTGAGTCTAAGGATAATACATTGAATTAAGTAACATATATAATTTGTTCGAATCCTGATTTAAGCAATATTAATAACTTTCAGAAAATTGCAAATCCATAATTTATATTATAGAAATTAGTTCAAAGAACGTCTGGTTAAAATGGTTCCTTGTTCCTTACAGGAAAGGGCCTTCCACTCTTTCCATGTTTTAAGCGGTGATTCACTAGTGAGATCTTTCTGAAAATGATGCCAACACTTTCATTTTGTGTCCCCAAACAATAAAAAAATTCATAACAATTCAATCCAATCACTTAGTAATTATATCATATGATCAACAACCAATTCAATTCAATCCAATCATGCTAATCCAAAACTCGTAGCATAGTTCATCGAACACCTTCACTAGCCACTATCCTAACAATCCTGAACACATCAAATACTCATTTCTTCAAATAATTAAGGAGAAATTATTACGTAAGCGGCCACCAGTCACACACTAATGTAAGTATAGTTATTATGATTGGTCAGGATCCTATGATCAATATTATTATTTTTTTTTCCCCACGATCCCATACTACTCGATGATGTTGAATATATATAGAGAACTCAAGTAACTTTATGAAAATGTATTTGACTTGTAAACTTTTGTTTTGAATTCAGCTGATAGCTGTAATTAGAGGTGATTGGAGGATATATAGATATAGTGAAAAGTTCCACCCCATATAGGACTGGGACACTCTTCATTGTCCTAAAAATTAAAGAAGATGATTATAAGAGAGAGAGATTAGACTTTAGACTCATACATTATACATATATATTATATGTATCTGTTTGTGTAATTATGGTCAACATCGTATCACTTTGTGTCGTCGTGATCACAATAATTTCAATTTAGGAGCCAGAAATTAATGAAACCGTTCAGAGATGGAGACATACACGGCCCATGTTTGGCTCTTTAATTTAAGATGACCGGTTTATTAATGTTTGATGTAAAATATGCCTTCTTTTTCAAGAAACCAAAATTGTGGTTCAGAAGGATTTGCACACATTGTGCTTTTTCTTTCCTCTCTTTTCTTTTCTTTTCTTTTCTTTTTTTTTTTTTTTTTTTTTTTTTTTGGCAAATAATAGATCATAAAATTTGAAATTATTTATTTAGTAGGATATCCTCATGATTTATTTGTTCTCGTGTTCATTCAGTTGTTTGTTGAGTGATTTTTATCTAATTATGTTTTTCTCACGTTAGCACACGATATCAATTGACAACTTTGCAAGAAAAAAAAAACATAGATTATACCTTATTATATAATAAATAAGTGGTTTGAACAAAGAAAACATATATTATTACTGTTATTTTAAGAATATTTACCCTTTAAAGTAAAAAAGAAAAATTATAAGGGCAAGATTGTAGTAAAAGAGAATCATTTGTCAATTTGGGAAGGAGTGTTTTTGACATTAGCGGAGAAAGAAAGAAACTCCTAGAAAAACTCACTCTGATAAAAAAAAAATAATAATAATAATAATAATACAGAGATTAAGTGTACTTCTTTGATAAAACTGATAATTAAGATTAAATTTAAAGTATTAATTATAAATTAATAATTATTTATTTATTTTTGAGTTTTATCCCAGTGTGTTAAAAAAATGACATTATTTGATGTTGTTGTTGTTTTAAAAAAAAAAAAAAAAAAAAAAAAAAAAAAAAAAAAAAAGCATTACCCCTTCCTTTCCTTTCTTTTCCTTCTCTTCATTTATTTTCTTTTCCTTCCAATTCTATCAAAATCCAAACCAAAAATTACTGTTTGAAGGCCCCCCACCATTTGACGCCTCTCTTTTGAACAATAAGGCTGCCTTAAAAGTTAAACCCAGGCCCATACCCCCAAAGTAAAAGAAGGGGCAGTACAGCCAGAACACTCTTTTGAGTGTGTGTGTGTGTGTGTGTGTGTGTTTTGAGTGCCTGTCATTCAAAAAACTGGACTTTGTTTTATTTTCTGTTGTATATTCTGTCAGAGAGAATTTCAAAATTCTCAAATTCTTTTTCCTTTTCTTCCTTCGATCTATGAATGAATGAATCCATCCCTCAATTGACCTCGTCTGTCCTGTCCACACTCTCAAAAGAAGACATTTTTCATTCCTTTTCTCTCCCTCCTTCCTTCCTTCTCTTCTTCTACATCTGTATTCGAATTCGTTATTTCATTGTCAAATAAAGTTCGCGTGATTTCACTCTACTTTATACCACACTCTGACCATCCCCAGATTCCTTTGTTTGCTTTTTTACCTTTTGAGATCCATATCTAATCCACACATATACATGTATATGTATATTGTTCATTCATGCCTAAACCCTCAACTTCTCTCTCATTCGGATTCCAAATATTCACCAATACTCCTCTTTCCTTCTTTTTTTTTCTTGCCAATTGTCTAGTTCTTGAAAAGGGTGTGTGTGTGTATATATATAGATATTGCTGATTAATACAGTAATGAAATGGGTGGAAATGGAGTAAAGGTGATAAGCAGCAAGGGCTGTTCGAGACGGTTTGCTGAGATTTCATCTTCACTGTCATTCCGTGGTCTCCAATCATTCCGGGGTCTCCAGTCATTCGACCCAATGTCTCCTGTTTCCTCCTTCTCCGTCGATCCATCGGCCGGTCCTTTTTCTGGTCTTGTTATTTGCGTTACTGGACTATCCAAAGGTATGAAGATCTATATTATACATATAATATATGTGATGTTAATTATATTCTCTTATGGAGGACTTCTTCTTTAATCTTATTCCCTTTTAATGTTTATGCAGCTTTCTTTTTCTTTTTGTTTGACAATCTGTTGGATATTTGAGTATGGTTTTCGTCTCCTTTTACGCTTTTTGTTGGTCAGCGTATATGTATAAATTCAAGAACATGTTTTGTAGATTAATTTCTTTAGCATTATCTATATGAATTAGTCCAACAAACCCCAAGTAAGATATACAAAAATCTGGAAATTATGGAGGAATTAAATTAATGATTCATACAATGAAATTGTGGGAAAGGATAATAAAACAATGACCAACAAAAAAAAAAAAAAGAAAAAGATTCAGGTGTCTGATAATAATTTTGAATTTTTTGCTATGTAGTTTTCACTACAGAAGCTATTTACTTTATAAGACAATTAATAGAAGAGTGTAGGAGTATACAAAAATAATCACACGCGGTTTCCATAGATTTAGAGAGGACATATGGTAAGAGTGTCAACAGACATAATTTGGTGGGCTTTACAAAGGAAAAAGGTCTTTATGAAATTAAAAATGCTATACATAATTTGTATAGCGAGACATTGACTAGAGATCATACTATATGCGAAGAAACTACGTAGTTTTATTAGATATTTTTAAGAAATCTTTAACAACATGGAGAATCAGAAGAAAGGGCATAAAAATTAGTAAAACTGAAACATAATATATAGAATGTAAATTTTATAAAGTAGTAGAAGATGACAATATAAATATTGCAATTCAAGACCAAAAAAGTGACTCAAAACAACTACCTTCCCTATTTAGAGTCAATATTACAAAAAGATGGGGACATAGATGTTGATGTAGTAAGTAAGATTGGAGCGGGTGGATATAAAAGGAAGCAAGTTAGTTGTATCTTATGTGACAAATGAATATCAAATAAATTCTACAGGGTGGTTATTAGGCAACTATTGTATGGAACAGAGTGTTGGGCATTGAAAAATAATTTAGAACAACACATCCGTGTAGGGAAGATGGGGGTAATAAAATGGATGATAGGAGTGACTAGAATAGTGTTACCAAAGGCCCAAGGCACACTAAGGCGCTAGAGGTCCTCTGGAGCCTAGGTGCACTGCGAGGCGCACAATGGAAAAATTAAATTACTATTAAAGAATTAAAATTCCATATTAAAGGCGCAAATGTTGTCAAAGGCACACCTGGGCACACAACCTGCGCTAGTCTTGCGCTTGTATGAGCCTGGAGCCTTGGTGGGCCTTTGACAATACTAGACTAGAAGAGATAAGATTAGTAATGAACTAATGAGCGGAAAATTAGGAAATAACGCCTATTAGTGATAAAATTTTAAAAAGTAGACTTAGGTGGTTTGGTCATATAGAATATAGGTTTGATTCACCGGTTAGAAGAGGGAGAGTTGTTTGCCCATAAGGTAAGCTACAAAGAGGCCGACCAGAAACTTAGATGGGATGAAGTAATTAAAAATGATTTTAAAAAATTAAACATTAGAGAATACATGGTGTATAACACAAAAGAATAGAAAATGATAACTTATGTGGCCAACTCCATTCATATGGGATACAGGCAACAATGATTATTACTATAAAGTGTCACGAACCCATTTGCGTGCATACACACTACAGTAACATGTTTAGAGTAGAAATTTACATTGCAATATTTATCAATTTTAACTTATAATGATATTCATTTTCTCAATCTGCATTGTGATTAATTAATTTCAAAATGAATGGAATAGAACTTGGTGAAAAATTTTGGGCTGCATGTTTTGCATTTAGACTATAGTAAGGAAGGCTGGTGCCTTAGACATGCCCCATTTTTTTTGCCCCCTGAATAGACGTGCCCCAGTTTTTCTGTTTACATCTTTGTCACTTAAAAAAAAGCCCTTTTGGTTATCATTTTGTGTTGAAGATCCTTCCTTTGACCTAACTTACTTTCTCTTTTGTTTTGTTTCATCTACTTCTCTTGATACAATTTAAACGAAGTATTGCTGTTCTTAGTTAAGTAGTTATATTGCAGCAGTTCATGTTTATGCTTCATGATGTGTTTGACAGAGGCAAGAAAGCAAGTCATGGAGGCAACAAAGAGATTGGGTGGTCAATACAGCCCTGATTTGCATCCTCAATGTACCCATTTGGTGGTTCAGATATCCTTTTCCCCCCTTATATTTTATAAGTTCTGATTTATCTAGTTGTGCCATCAGTTTTATAATAGCCTGACATTGGGGATGAAGATGCTATTTGTTTTCGTGGTTTAATATAAGTGGATAGATTCCTCTTTACTTTTGGCTGAGCCAGTAAATTCTACTTTGGGTATCTAAGAGGAATAATTTTTTCTAATAATTTCTGGTTGGGAGGATTAGTAAGAACGGAAAATAATGAAGAAGGAAATAGGCACAGTTGGCTGACTATAAGTCTGTAATACTATAGCTTATATGGTTGCATTTGCCTTTGGTGACTTTCTGTTCTTTGGAGTTATGTTATGCATACCAAGTTGATGTAATAGAGGGATCCTCATTCTGCCTTGATTCTAGCTCAACTTTTTCCTCTAAACCTGGTTTCTTTCCAATACAAAAACTAAAGTGCATTTTCAAGCATGCTCTTGTGTACTCTTAACACTTTTCACAGCTTCCGTGGACGCAAGTTTGAGTATGCTATGAAGCATGGATCTAGAAACAGTGTCTTTGTTGTCACACTTGGATGGTTTGTAGATAGTGTCAGAAGGAATGGTAAGTGTTGGCTATCTTTTCATTGACATTGACTTGGGTGAGCATATGATATATTCAGTTTCTGATCCAACAAAAAAGTTGCTATTTTCTTTAGTCCTTTTTGTGCAACATGTCAATGTTGAGCGCACTAGTTAGGTAAATCCTCTTGCATTGACCACCTATCATTCCTACTCTTAATTCTTATGCTTTTTAATTATTTAATAGTGGATGTTTGGAGATTTAGCTTCAAAATTTGGATTAACCACCATGAAACACAATCATTCACCTAATGGTTGAACTATTTATGTTTTTTGACTTCATATTATTTCCTGCAATATGCAATGCTTGTTGGATGGAGGATTTTTCAATTGTTTTATTGGTTTTTCCCCATTATTCAACTGTCCAATCTGAATCACTCATTGTCGCACAGAAAAAGGAAACTAAACTATAATATAATGTCATAAGCATGTAATGGAAGTCCATTTAAAATGACTTATTTTTCAAAATATTTTATAGTCACGAGAATGGTTTGGCGTAATAGGAAAAATGATTTCAAATTTTTTATAGTCATGAGAGTGGCTTGGCGTAAAAGGAACTATGATCAGTTGGGAACAATCTCAATGCATTGTTTTCAAATGCTTGGTTTTTGAGTATAGTTATATGGTCACCAAAGATTTACCCTGGAAATATAACATGACTTCCTTCTGCTTTGGTGCTGGTCTGCTGCTCTTCCATATTATGTGTTGATCTTACTTTTGTGTGGGTCTGTGGGGGGTTTATTAGAGAAGGTTTTATTTTTCATGAAAATTGAAAGCAGAAAATTTTTCCTCTTGGAATTTTTTCTGAAGATGAACTTTACTCAATGACTTATTTTACTTGCTGAGTAAATGAGACCCTGTTGTTTTTTTCTGTCACAGTGAGGTTGAGCGAGTCACTCTACAGTGTTAAGAGTGTTGGAGAAAATGGTATGCACACGGATGATTTGAATCGGCTTGTTCACTATGCTGGTGCTGAGCATTCTTGTCTTCCTGTTGGTATTCATGAACATACCAAGCAAACTGACATGATTGAAGAACCATGTTCACCGTTTTCAGAAAAAGTTTACAAAAGAAATGTGGAGTTGACTCTGTCTGGTCACTCCTTGTATGTTGATTTAGATATTTCCCCAGAACTGCAGAGCAAGGTAGAAATGAATTATTTTCAAAATATTGTTTCACATTTCTTCCTCAAAATCTGATGAAGAGTATGATTTTATCCTGTCATAGAATTGGCTTTTTAAGTTTTGCATATTTGGGCATATTCCGTTAGAAACAGACATGGAATATACTATACATTGTTATTGTGATAGCCATTAATGGAAGTCTACATGCTTATGTTAATGTTGACTAAAACATCCCGACATTAGATGAAATGTCTATCTATCTATCTATCTATCTATCGATCTATCTATCTATATATATGTGAGCTACTATCTGAGATATGTGGACGTGTCTTGGTAGGTTGTTGAGGCAGCTGCTGTAGAAGGCGCTAAGTTTGTAGATAAATGGTTTGTTGGTTGCAGTGCAAGTCATGTAGTGTGTGAAGGACCTTCTACTCAAAAATATCTCGGCCACTCTAGCAATATTGTTACAGTAAGTGGTACTATGCTGCATCCAAATTTTCCTGAGAATGAGCATTGTGTTTTTTTAAATTGAAGAACTTATAGAAGTATAATATTTTAACTGTCATGGTTATTCTACAATATGAATTTTTGCTCTCTTTGTATGACGGGTAGTGCCCAGTTAGGATAGACCACTTTGTTAGCATCATGTGTCCTGTGGAATGACATTTTTTTTATGAAGAGTAGAGTCCTTCGTTTTCCTTTTTTACAACCATCGCCATAACTTTGATCAATATATGATTTTCACAGCCACTATGGGTTCTGAAAACTGCAAAGGAAAAATGTTTGCAAAGGCTTGTTCACTTATCAGCTGATTTGGCTAGGCAGATTGGCATGATGCTTGACAATGTTCATGGTGGCATGTATGGAGAGGTATCATCTGCTCTTCCTTTTTCTTATTTTTGGATGCTATTTATTCTCATCACTTACAACTAGTTACAAGTAGATTAGTTTCATTTTCTAAACTTAGAAAGGTTATGTTTGAATTGATTTATTTTTGTTTCAACAAGCAGTGCATCAACCTTTTTTCCCCTTAAATTACAATAAACCTATCTCTTATTGTTTCAAAATTTCAGAAGATATTGGGTACAGTAAGTGCACTGGATTCATATGGATGCTAACATGTAATAATTTTTAAAAAATCTTTTGTAGATCAGCAAAGTGTCTTATAATAAATTATGTAATGTACCACAAAGCGTGTCATTAAAACTAAATTTATGGTTCCAAACTTCTAGATAAATCAGGTAAAGAAATACAATCAGTATGGTTTTTTGTATTTTCTTTCCATATCAATACCAATACTGTAATTAAACAGAAAACCTGAGAAGGAACCTGGTAGGAAAAAACATTAACTCAGCTCTCATGGTTTTTTTTTTTTTTTTTTTTTCAAATATTTCAGAAGTTCCTTTAAAGTGCCATTTTCTATTATCCAATTATTGATTTACTATTCAGATTAAAAAAACAAAAATTATTTATGCCAATATGTTGAGTTTTATCTTGAACTATTTTAGGAAATTAATGGCAGTGGTGATCCCCAAGATGCTCTGAGTTCTAGAAGTAAAGCAAGCCAAGAAGAAAGACAGAAGACTGTGAATCTGGCTAAAATCGGGGTTAGAAAACGTCGTGGTCATCGCATGCAGGTTAGTAATTAGTCATTTGTTAAGCTGAATGGGGTTTAAAATTTTAAGTGCGCTTGTTGCTTTACATTTCATTATATTTGATTAAGATGCATATCCCAATGCTACATGAGGTCTTTTCTCACTGTCTTGACTAGGTCCACCTGTTTAATTGAAAATTGTTTTTGTTCGAGTTGGCTTTTGAGTCATGCAGACTCATACAGCAAAAAACTATAGATTACGTGGTTGAACACCACTTGAGTGGGCAGTAGGCATTAGATTTTTTTAGGTTGTTGCAGCATGTTCACAGAGGGTCTGCATCATATATTTGGTTATTCATGGCTCACAGGCAAGGGGGTGACAGTGCAAGTTGGAGGCTTCCAATAGCATGTTAAGGCAATTACATGAACAAGTTATGCCACATTGTTGGGGGTTAAAGAAAAATAAAGGTGCAGCAGAGTGTTCTATTTCTCATGCCTTCCATGTGTATAGCACACAAATGTAGAGGCAATTTTTTGCTTCTATGTTTACTACCATGTGTATTTTTATGGTCTGCTTGCATGTATCAATCACAATATTGACAATTTCATTCTGCATGTTGATTTGAAATCTGCACTGGTGCATCCTGTTGTGATTACAGACATGTCAAACCCCAATACGCCCAATAACCCCAAGCATCCTTCTGGACTCAATCTGCTGGTCAATATCTGAGCCGACTTCAAGTGCTTCTATTTACACAGACTCTTCCTGTGTGGAGGATGGTAGCGGACACCACACATCTGTATTCTGTGATGCAAAAGGAGGCGAAAAAGAATCGGAAGCTTCATTTATAAACCTGTCCCGGCCACTTACTGAAAGGTTGTTGAATCCTTATTCTTGAGTTTCAGATGGTCTAAAATTTGTCTTTTCTGGTAGACTAGGCATCTAAATTGTAAGTTTGGAAATTAGACGGCAAGTTAGCAACAATCACCTTGTCAAGTCAACTATTGTTGCACATTTTGGATAATGTTATTTCTTCCATGACATTTTCTTGATTTTTCAACCAAATATGCACTTGATAAACCCATACTCGTTCCCAAATATTCACCATTTTGAGTGTTTTTAATCTTGTGGGAAGTGTTATGCTTATATTTCTCTAACTGCATACCTTGTATTTATTTGGTTGTTCGCAGTGAGAGAACTGAGCTGATAGTCAAAAACCACTTCCTTACGATGCTGTTTCCAGTAGATAGATTTGCTGAGATGGGTCCTTGTTCAAGAACATTCTTCAGTGATTCAGGCTTTACGTGTTTGCAGGTGTTAGACCATATCTATGCATTTTATCAGGTACTTGAAGTTGTTTCCTTTCCTGACTCATCACATCCATCAATTTGGCAGTGTGATTGGTTGTCTTGATCCATGTCATTTATTTTTCCTTCATTTTTTTTTTTGGTGTCAAATGATTTTATTTCCAACCATGGTGATGGGTGCATTGGTTGCTTTCTATTTGTACACACTCTTCAGCCATAGTGCAACTATTTTCCATCATTTGTAATTTGTTTTTCTGTAAAGTAAAATGTGTTGAGAGAAGAATATTATATTGTTAAGCGTTAAAAAATAGCCATTAATACACAATCTCTAACCAGTCTTTTCTTAAAATTATATAGAATGCAGTTGATGTGAGCAAGTGTTTGGAGATATGTGATCTCGTTCATATGTGATCGGTCTTACGTTAGTCCTTTCTGTTTATGCTCTATTGTAGGAGAACATGTCAGCTCATGAAACAGAGATGGCAATTCACACCGATTCACGGCATGCTGATCGGCTTCGATCAGTGTACTCCAATAAGGAAACAGCAGAGCGAGGTTATGCTGCATTCAAACGAATTGATTTCTTAGGGAGTCGTAAAAGTTTTGAAATGTTGAAACGTGTTTCTGGGGATAACAGTAGTAATGTATATGAGTTGCTGATCAGAGCATGAGGTCATCTGATTAATGCTGGATGCCCTACTCGTCGATTCTAAAAGTCACTAGTCACTGGTGGTGATCTATGAGAAGGCACGATGAGTGTGCTGAACCATTGGATAAAATTTATTGTGCTTCAAAGACAAGACGGGTTGAACATTCCAATTCCTTGAGCGAGGTTATGAAGTTTAAGAAATAGAGAATATTCCTGCTCATGAATGCTGAATTTCCAATTCTGCAGAGGTCTTTCAGTGTCACCATAATTGGTGGTAAATAGTAATACCCTTTCAGATTTCATCATTGTTCATAGTGATTATCAATTGGATAGCTTTTTTCCAAAGGAATGAAAGAAAACTAAATGGAAAGTGATGCCTTGAAATAGTGTTGATCAGACTATGGCTAGAAGGAGTGTATCGTAAATTTGTCCTGCACCATGCCAATTGTGTTTTGTGTGCCATTAGGATGTAATCAGGCATGTTTTTTTGGCTTTTTTTTTTTTTTTTCCCCCGTATGTTTTTCAATTCCAATTATAATATGTTTGATTGAAGTATTCAACTTTGCAGCATATGGTCTTTGCTATTGATTCTAGTTTGTCAGATCCATTGGTAGAAACAGATACTCTGATTCAACTTTGGTGAAGTTAAAAGCACTTAAAATGAAGAGCTACTACAGTCTGTATTCTTCTCATGCGGGGTGCTAAGAAAGGGAGACTAGAGAGACTTGGGACCTGTTCAGTTCAGTTAAAATCTGGTTGACAGTTTTTGAAAATTGCTACCCAAAAGTTCAGTTAAAAAATGTTTGTTTGTATGAAAACTGTTTTAAAGAATCTGAACCAAACAGGCCCTTAACTTTTGTCACCGTTTTGCACTTGACATTGGTATATTGTGCACAAAGCAATAGCACTAGACTTGCAACGGTTAAACAGCACAGCAGTCTGCAATGGAATGGAATTAGCTCCCACTGCTGCAATAATAGCAGCTGGTAGGAGTGAGGAAAAAAGCTAAATACAATAACAAATCAATGATGGCTCCATCTGAGCTGCAGTGGCTGCTCGTAACAGCCTTTCTGCTGCTGATGCGGTAACAAGCATTGCTCTGTTTAGATTATCACTTAGCAGTGCATCTCTTGTTAGCCCACACTTTGAATAAACGCCAACTAGAGCAGGAGAAACAAAAATGCATGATGTTTCAACCCCAATTTAACCCAAACCTATGAACAGTTTGAGCCTCACGCATAACTGGACATCAAACGTAACTTCAAAGCCAGAGTAAAGGTAAGCTTATTTCGCGAAGCCACAAACATTTGAAGATGAGATATCGGGTAGAAACTATCTTGTTACTGGCATTGGACAGCGTCAACAAAGCTTAATCGAATTCATTATTTGGAGTTTTATTGATGAACAATGATAAAATCGGGTGTGCTGTGGTGAGAAGGGTGAGAGATCATGGAGGGAGACATAGCGGTAGTTCAGAGGTTGTCTTGCACTCGCCACTGGCATTTGTCAGCCCTACAAACTTCGGAAATTTCTACTCCATCACTCGTGCAAGTGTAGCTACAAAAACAGAATCAGATTTTAATGTTCATTAATTAGTAGATAAACCTGAGAGTTGCAGGATGGACTCTTTTTCTCGTACTTGTGTGGCCTTTAGCTAGAGATCAACCTCTCTTTAAAAATTTGGCATTTTTGTGGTTCAAATCTACAAGCATCCTGAATTTTTACCATATCATATAGCATTACGGTGTCAAAACCAGTCTTCTGAATCCCTGCACTTCTTGGAAGTTTTTTGCTATTTCGAAAACCATGAAAGCAAAGAACCATTTGCTTTCTTCTCGTTGTTCCACAGGAAGTACATACTTAAATACTTGTAAGCCAAGGAGAGAGGATAAGGACACAATAACCTCCTATCTACAAACACGAAATAAAACCTAAACAGAATTATACAAACGTTTAAATAAATGCACTTATTCAAGGATAAACTATACCAATTTTCTTCTCTTTTTTAAAAAATAGAAATAAAAGCTCAAGGCTCATGACCCAAAAAACGCATTTAGGTTTCTTCATTTCTTCTGCACTTTTATGGCCAATCATTTCTTCTGCAACGATGAATCGAAACAGTAAAATTTTGGTGAATAGAGACCTATCATGTAAATCAATTCTATCCATTACATTTGAGAATGGGAAAAAAAAAGAGGGGGGGGGGGGGGGGGGGGGGGGGGAATGTAACAAAGAAATAAAAATGGAAGTTACAAGATTACAAAATGTAGCAGCAAAAGACAGCTGATGTAGGTACCTGATCGCTACCAAAATGTGAGTCCCTAACGACCACTGACTAAACCTTAATGATACATTTCGGGCTTTCTTTTTCACTTTTAACATGTTTTCCTTTCCTTTCTTTGGTTTTTTTTTTTTTCTTTTTGACTTTAGAGTTGGGCTACTCTTCCATTTCATCCCATATACAGATACAAGAATGATTTTGATGACTGACTTCATAGATTATGCTGTATGGCAAAAAAAACTCCTATACCTCCCTGGTTCAATATATCACAATTCGGAGCAGCCCTGGCTGTGGCTCAGAATATTCAAGGCCCTCTTCAAGCAGGTAGCGCTGGACAGCAACTGGAAGTCTTGCAGGAGTGCGGGAACCCCTCGTGTGATGACCCGTTCCAACACATATATAAACCGGCAGGCACTGATCTGCTGATCTAGCTGCACTCCTCAACATAATCAGCTCACGCTTCAGCACCTGAATGGCTTCACTCACGTGCAGCCCATGCAGGTCTATTATCCTCTCCTGTCCTCTTGCATTAGCCTGCATTTCTGGACCAGCTGGGTTCCTGCAAAATAATTAATCGCACTCAAAGCAAATGAGCGCAACAATTTGGGTAATTGGAGTAAATAAAAAAGGGGGGTGACTAAATCATTGTAATTGGTAGTGTTTTTCAAGACACTGGCTCTGGCTCCATGTGGCCAAAGAGCATGTGTGATCGTAATTTCAGCAACATATACCAGGATGCCTCGGTACTACTGTTTTTTTTTTGTTGGTTAAAAGAGGTGAGATGCTGACCAAGCTCACTTCTGATACCATTGGAAGATCCACGAATGTTCTGAGAGGAAGCATAAGACAACAAACCTCTGACGATAAATTGATTCTTGGGCTTTTCCATGAGCTGCCTTCATGTGCATGTTGTGCAGCTGCCCCTTTACGCTGAGTTCCTTTGCTAAAGCCTTGTTACCTATGAGGTATGCCTGCCGTGCCTGTTTTTACATACAAAAGGAGTTAAACATAAAAGGGTGCTAGGAAAATGCAATTTTACTGCCATAAAAAGAACAAAATTTACGTAAAATATATTTGGAGGGAACTTGTAATAGAAGATAAGAAATGGAGAGGATGGCCAAAAATAACGTAGGATGAGGTTTTTAAAAATGACCTTAAAAAGTTAAATATAGCAGGGTAAATGGCATGTAATAGAAAAGATTGGGGAGAGAGAGAATTCATGTGGCCGACCCCATTCATATGGAATTAAAGCAAGTATGATGATGATGATGATGATATTTGGAGTGAACTCATACAAGTAATTTAGGTCTGCAGTCAGCAAACATATTCACTGCATAGGGACTGGCAATGGGTAACGTTCACGACATGGCTCATTGGTATCATATCTTATATTCGATATAGCTTTTCACCTACTGGTGAGGTAGACATTCCAGTAGCATGTATAAAGCCATTCATCTTGTAAACAGACCAAAGGCTCAACAAACAACTCAAAAATTTAGGCAACTTTTAATTTTTCACATTTCCATGGATTTATATTCTATCTTGTTTCTTTTTCTCGCTTCTTTTTCTTTTTTATCCAGTTGGGTCCCCATCAACAATTAAACAAGAACAAGATGCGGTCAAGCAGATTTAACTGCAGAGATAGCTTAAAAAATATGATCATTCTTTAAAGTGTAGACACCCTTGAATAGTTTCTCACAATGTATGAAAAGACAAATATACGTTATATGTTTACTTTAAATGGATTATTCATATATTACTTATAAAAATAGATTATTCATATATTACTTTAAATAGGTTATTCATATACTAATGCTCTATAATAAGGATCTTGTCACACCCGAACTTTTTTTCATATATCATCACACTACTGAGAGATTACTGCCCTGCAACAGAAGTGCTACAGCACCTGCCTAGGAATTGTAATATTTGCAGTGCGGATATGCCTTTGTGGTGTACTTCAGAATATGCTGTCTTCTTCAATGATTCAGAAGTAGATGCTCAGAGATTTCCATTCTTCCAAGACATGAAGCACCAAAACAACCCAAATCATACTCAAAGCACCAACTGTTTCTAAAAAGTTCAGCCACAGTCTAGAACTGACTACGTAATCTCTTTCGTCGCAGTTAAGCCTACATCTTCGAAAAACCAAACAGATTCAGGAAACCCAAGCAAACAGAAGCTCCATTTGTTTCTACGTAATATATTTTTGTTGTAAAATCATGTAAAACAAAAACAAAAAAAAAATCCCTTATTTTCTGACCCTTGGTTTAAATTCTAAAAAAAAGGGAAATGAAACGGATAAGCGCCTAATCAAACATATCCAAAGTCATCCATTTCAAAGCTCATTAGCTGACCAATGACAACCCTCTGATATTCTGATTTTTTTATTATTATTTTTTAATTTCTCCTCTTTCAAGCTTTCACTTATTCTTTTAAATGGACAGTTCTCAGATTTCTGTTCTCTCTGAAATTGGTGTCTAGATTGAACCTTACTCATGTCCAATGGTTATGATCACAACCCTTTCGAGAAGAAGTTAATCTCTATATTTTAACTTCCTTAATCCATCCTAATTCTCTATATAAATATATATACATACACGCACAAACACTCTAAATTTCGGGTATCATCCTTGTTTGCGAATAAAAACATACTTCATGTGTGCATATACGTATATCCATGTGTGTGTTTATATGTAGTTCAGATTTATATATATATATCCCACATAGATATATATCTGTCAAGGTTCATCATGCATATAATAGGACCCTGTTCACAATTTAAACAGCCAGCTAGAGCCAGTAAAATTATTTATGGAATTTACATCCATAAATTATTTGTCATAAAAGGTGTAAAATATTTTACAGGTAAAATGTTTTACCTTGGTTTATATGCAACCTAACCCTGGAAAATAAAAAATGTTCTCCACAAAAACTTTCAATTAAAACAAACAGAGTGGGAAGTCCTCAAATGTTTTGACTCAAAATACTACATGAAAATTTCCCGAGCCAGTCATTGCCCTAAACAAACCATAATGCAGCTCACATACCCTCTTAGCACTATCAAAAAATGGGTTTAATTGGATTTCACAAAACAATTCTAGAATAACCTAAATCCAACCCGCCATCCATTACATAAATTCAGACAATACCATTTGTTTGGGAAATGATCATTCTAACGTTTATGCTAGTTAACAAGCCACAGATGCCTTACCATAAAAGTATTAAGATTTTTCCTTCTCAAACATAATAGCAAAATAGTGGAGCAACTACAATCAAAGAAAAGCTCATTCCTTGTGATGACACAAAGAATTAAGCTTACAACACATTCTCTGTGATACATCACAAATGCACGCAATTATGACATTTAATGTGAAAATCAAACATGCCCATACCCTTTAAAGCATGGACATGCCTTTGGGGGTCCCATATATGTGTCGAACACGTCTGACACCTAGTAGAAGTTCTATTTTATTTATTTATATAAGCATCGGACATGGGGACACGGCTCAACTAGTTTAGACCATTAAAAAGAGAGAGAGAGAGAGAGAGAGAGAGAGCCAATGAAGATGATTTATTTGTGTATATATCCATCCTCTATATATCATAAACAAAAAAAGAGTCCATGAAGAAAATTTAAAATAAAGATCACAGTATAAAATGATGCAATATATCTATATATACATAAGAATATTTACAGATCATGCTCTCCTTTGCCAAGATTGTGTTCTCCTTTGCCACCTCTGATATTCAATTTGGAATTTCCGGTAGATAAGACTCTTGAGAGAGAGTGATTGTCTTCCAATTTGGTTGAATGAGAGATGTATAAGAAAGCGGGGAGATGTAAAAGGTTACAACAAAGTGGGAGACCATCGGGAAAGAAATGGGACAATGTGAAGAGATGGAGGGGATGGAGTGATGAATGGCGGGAAGAGAGAGAGAGACGCAAATGAAGGAGAGTGAGGAGATAAGATAACAATTTGATCTTCTTATACAACTAGTTTGGTCACATGGATAAGACTTGTGCCTTCTGGATATTAGGATATATCTTTGTTTCTTTTTTCTTTTTCTTTTTTTCTTTTTTTTTTTTTTTTGATAAGTATATCTTTGTTTCATTTTAATTGGATTTGGGCTTGTGGACCTTTATATTTTTTATAAGAAATATGGGCTATCTGGGTGGGCCTAATTTAAATTTGCTATGTTTACGAATATTGACTAGAAATTGAACAAAAATTAATTAATTTATATAACAATAAATTATATTAGTATCTCATTGCCGTATCCTTGCAGTGTCTATATCCTATCTTTTGAGATTTGTCATATCATTGTGTTTGTGTCATGTTGTAATCGTGTCTGTGCATCATGGCTCATACCAAATAAATATAACAATACATATAACAACTCATTATTGTAATATTTTGTGAAGCACAACTAATCTGGAAGAACACAGTGGACTAATTAGAGAGGTCTGTACCTCAGTCACCACAAACAATATCCTACAAAACACATACCCGTCCAGTGCAACAAAGTCACTTTAAGCTAATTCATGTCCTCAATATCAACAAACGGAAGTGAGAGAAGAGTGCATGTGATGCTTTTGTCCGTGTGTATTTTTTGAGGAGGATCCGAACAGCAAAAACTATATATTTGCTCAAATTACAGAACATACCTGCTCAAAGTATGCATTACGCAGGCGTGCATGGTCACGAGCTTCCTCCCGCATTTCAGAATACATATTTGCTGTCATCTCAACAATGTTAAATCATATATATGTGCGCAGAAGGAATTTTTCCACAATTCAAGTTTCACATAGCAATTAAATTTGTTGACATAGGAATATTACCAACTGTCTCTCCAGTTTCAAGCCAGACAGGAGCTGCCCGAGCTGATCCCCGATTTTGTAATCTGTCAGAATAAATGCCCCTCCCCTGTCCACCACTGTAAGGACTATCTAAAATATGTGAAGTTCTACTTGAGCCAACATTGGCATCTGCAGAACCATTTCTGTCATACTTCCATATGCCAGAATCCTGAGATGCCATTTTCCTGACAGCTGAAGCAAAATCTACAGCACCTCTCGATGGCAAAGAAGAGCCGGATTTAAACAAAAGCATATTATCCTTATCGGAAGACCGATAAGGACTAAAACTTTGCTGCAGCTCTTCTCCAGTAAACTTTTGCAGACCATTTTGACCATCGGGTGAGGAAAGTGCTGGGAAATCTAGTGCACTAAGATTTGGAGCTGACAAGGTCTTTGAGTTTAGATTCTGATTCAAACCACCATCAACCTGAAGCTACAATAACAAATAAAACATATTGAGAAAGCCCCTGCTTAGGAAGAAGATCCAGAAGTATCGCAATATTATAGGCTTCTAGCTAATAAGATCCACAAATCATGAACTGAATGAAGCTGCATTCTCTTCTTGTGTGTGTGTGGGTGTGGGTGTGGGTGTGGGAGGAGGGGGTGGGGGTAGGAGCGTACACCAACGTGTCTCTCCAATTTTGAGTTGAGACTATTTCCTGCAAAAACACACAATCACCTCCTACAACGGTGCCTATCACAAAATAATCAGCCTTACAAATCAAATCTAAGAGCCATTAACACTGCCAAATATATTAAAACGTAAGACTAATATCGCATAAATCGCAAACCAACAAAAGGTAATAATAACAATTAGCGCGATATAGCAGAAGGAGAAAATGTCCAACTATAGAATCACTACACCCCCTTGTGCCAGAGACCACAACAATGCAGTTATCTCACATTTTAGAAACAGATTCCATTCTGCATGTTCTCATAATCCCGATCTGGGTCACCTGTCTAAGAAATTGAAAGCTAACATGAGAACTACAGTTGCGGTGAGCCACCTCAATCCTCTATGGGAAGCCAACTGTTCCCTGCCAACAGAAGGCATCAGAGGGATTGCTCTCCGAAGTTAGAAATAACATCAAGCCGAGCATCCATCCTATTAGAATTATTCAGTGTATTTATTGCAAATTCTAGGATGTGAAACAATACGTTGCATCCACTATATCAATTGCAGTATATGCATGTACTAGAAAAATAAAGTCAAAAAGATTGACAGCATGTCACAATAAATAGAAATTACAATTTTTTATTGTCAAAATGATAATACCAAATAGCTTATCCCAAGCATCCTTAGTTTCTACGAGAATTTTTATCCAATTTTTCCTTTATAGTAAATATTTCGTCCTATAGAGTCTCAGCATTATTCGTCAAGAATGATTTTTCGTTCTGACTCATTTCCTTGAAAGTCGCAATGTTGGATTATAGCTTATAACAGATCACAATTCTTTCTCTAATGATTATAAGGGGATCAAATTTTTTATTTTTTACAATTTTATACAGAATATGTAGCTGAAAGTGGCTGTTTTATGAACAGCATTACTCCTGCAACTATATTAAAGTATTTAAAAAGGATACTTGAAAAATGGAAGTATGTTAAAAGGTTATAAATTTACAAATGGTACTTGACAAATTATGGCATCTTAAAAAAAATATTACAAGCCCACTCAACTTGACCAAATTCGGAGCGTTGATCATACCTCAAGTTGCGTAAGCATCTCAATTGTCAGGTTCAAGTCACCTCCATTGGCAAAGTACACCTCTGTGAGGCTTTCAGCGGCAAAACCAGGGAATTGTGAAGCCAAAAATTCAAGAGGGTTCACGTCCATACTTTCTACCAATGATTTCTCATTTAGCATGTCATTTATGAAACTATTTCTAGACTTCCCATTATAAGGATGCCCTTCTCTAACACCGGTAAGCAGCTGATCGTTGTTTACAATTTGCTTGTCCCAAGGTTTAGTTGGCAAATCAAGAAAGCTGGCTGAAGATGAATCTTCAACATAAGATGAAACAGGAAATCTCGTTTTCTCAGCATAACTGTTACCATTGATTCGGTGAGTATATAACTCCTGCTGCTCGTTCAACATAAAGCCACTGCCTGTAGAAGCAGAGAATCTCAAGGATTCACTTCCATCATGCAAAGACAAGCTTGAAAAAGGGAGACTGTTAGTTCCCTGAGACTCGTCCTCCCCCATGACCTTGAAGTCAGGAGTGATATCATCAGGTAGCTGGCGACGCCAGTATTGGTGAGCCTCTTCATCAGAATTATTTGAAACTGATGACTCTGATCGATCTAGTACTGATTTTCCTAATGTTCCAGTCCCAGAGGTAGCAAACCTTGACGCTCCATCCACAGTGCTACTGCTTCCAGAAGGTGACCTAAGAGCAAAGGGAACGAACTCTGCAGCATTTGGATTCAAATTGGTTGCCTTGCCTGTGGCACTTAGCTTTTTGTCGTTAATCGGGGCCCCTTTGTTGGACAAGCTCATTCTTTTCTTAAGTAGGTAAAGTAAAAAATGACACTACATGAATAAAGAGACTTTTGGCGGAGACAAAAATGTGAAGTTGCACCGGGCATTAACCAAATCCTGCAAAACAAATTCATTTCTGTAGAGATTAGTGATCCCGAAAAAACTTCCCGTTCACAATGCACCACGTGCACATAGTTCATTCCTTGCCAGAAATCAACTCGACAACCTATATCTCGGATACGACAAAAACACGAAACCGACCAATTTTATCAGAACTTAACAAAAATGCTTCAGTCGATACCAATTTGCAAATTTAATAACTCCTCTATGACAGAAATTATGGACATTAAATACTACAAGTATATTAAGATATCGAGTAAAGGCAGCTCAAGTTAGAAATTAAATTTAATAATAATAATTAACTGAAAACACAAATGATTCTGAACATCACATTTAACTAACAAGTCAGTAACTACAGAATTTACAAATCACTTCAATGAAATCATGATCTATCACAATTGAACATGAGGCCATAAGCTTAAGTCAATACAATAAGTTACATAATCAAAAACCCTATCCTAAATATCGTATCTTGCAATAAGCATCTTTTTGGTAAGTACCTTGCAACAAACATTGACAAAAGGAGGCAAAAAAAAATATGCTGAATCAAGTGAAATCAAACTAATTAAATTCAAAGCTACCACATTAAACTCAAAATTACACCTAAGAAATTAAATACTCACACAATTAACATCTTAAAATTTCAGCCATTAAACCAACGAAACCGAACAGAATCCATATCAAATATAATCAAACTCGTTAAATTAAACTCGAACCAGAAAATCCAAAACCGAAATTAAGCGCAAAAAGTAACAAAATTAACTATAAAATAAAACATACATATACAATAGAAACATCAAGAAGCAAAATTAGTACGAATCAAAGCCACAACCTTGCATGTCCTCAAAACAATCAATTTAGATCTCGAGAAATCTAGCGTGTCACGAAATTAACAGAAAAAACAATGATTTTAAAAGAAACTAGCAAGAATTAAAAGATCTGACGGTAACAGATGATGATGTACTATACCTTCGCGAAGCTCTATGATTGAAAAAACCAAATCGAACGGATCCATCGGTCAAGATAAGGATGAGATATATACAGATATATATAACAGATACAGAGAGAGAAGTAGACAGAGAAAGAGAGAATTTTTCTTCCAAGTCTGGGCTTTGGCCTGCTGTATCTGTATGTATCTCAACTTAGGTTTTTGGTTCTCTCTCTCTGGTTTTGTTTTTGTTGTTTCTCTTTTCTTTGAAACCCTCTTCGCGACCACAAAATAAAAAGAAGAAACCCAACCCTTCGCCACTCGATTTGACAGACTCTCTCTCTATATCTATATCTACTTGTTCTCACTTCTCTCTCTTGACTTTCTAATTATTATTTATTTATTTATAATATATAGTAATTAAGTAATACGATAAAATAATGAGTAAAAATGATAAGAACAACCATTTTTCCGAATTATTATATTATAAATTCCAGCCACCACCTTTTACAAAGACTGAAAAAGCCATTTAATTTCGTCAGTCTTATTTAGAAAAAGATAAATAAATAAAAACTTGATATTAAAGCAGTCCGACTATAATGTACAGCAAGCATGGAACTTGGAAACAACATCCTACAAAAATATATTTGTGTATATATATGAGATGAAATTAAATAAAAATTACTTGCATGGAGATGGAGTTGAAATTTTTGGTAAAAATAGATGAGACATGACGAAAATTTGAACAATCTTGCCAAATTATAAACTTAGAAAGAGAATTAAAGAAGCCTGTGAATGTTATCGCCATAAATCATTTCAGAGTTACTTAAAGATGAAAAATATTTAAAAACGAATCCTAATATTTTATATATATTTTCCAAGCATTTCTGAAAGGTTTTTACTACAATTTTAAAGCTTCTGTACAGTTATCTCAAGGGTTCTCATTGGTTTGAGAACAATTTCTTTGTTGTTGTGAAAGAGGGAAAAGGATAAATGTGTCCTTTTAATGTATGGCAATATTTATTTTGAAAGGTGATTATAAAATGGTGAAACACTTTTTAGATAGCTCTATGTTATTGTACTATTTTTTACAAGGCAATTTATGACATGTAACATTATTTCAACTTCGGAATAAAAAAAATGTTGTTCAAATACAAATCGAATATTCTGTAAAATCTCTTTTTCTCACATCTTTGTGATTTTAACTCCAAACAATTTATTTGGGAACTTGGTGCTTGGCCTATCTCAGCTGCAAGATTTATACCATTCTTCTTGCTTAAAATTACTTCATTTGAATTGGGGTGTGGATTCTTCTTAGCTATTATCGTTTCATTTAAACTTGGGGAACTGTTGTAGGAAAAAAATTAAATAAAAAAATTAATTTGTAGTCATGTGGACTATGTTTTCTAAAATTCAATTCCAAATATTTTTCGATTCATATTATATTTGTCAATTTTGTGGTTTAATTAGGAGTTTATATAGTTGAATTGTGGTTTTCTAACTTTATTGGATGGAATTTAATCTTTTATTATTTTGTATTAAAGTTTCATGATGAGAAGTGAAACAATGATAAAAGAAGTATATTTGTTTGCAGAAAAGTTGCTCCTATTTTTCTTAATATATATTTTATAACACTAATCAATTCTATAGTAAGAACAACTATAAGAAGGGATGGTTTTCTTGTTTTCTTCTTGCATATTTGGGAGTTACAAGATTATCCGTCAGTCAGATAGATTCAACTTTCTTTACACCTGTCGGTAGTGTCCTTGCTTATTTTATTTTCTAGACTGACTTGATTCCATTTTTAAGTTGGTCCTTTTTTACTTGTACTTTTCTTTTCTTTTTGACTATAAAGTAGGGCAGGCTTTGTTGTTGGGTGAGGACTTGCTTTAGTTTTCCTTCCTAACCTTGGATTTAGAGTTGACAATATCATCATTCTTGCCTTAATATCGTGTGATATCTCATTTTTTAAGTTTTTGGCAAGCTAAGCGCCATTCTTTCCAAGGTTTTATATCTTTTTTAATTATTGTCTAGCATAATAAGGTCAAGTAAACTCTTGTCATTCCTTTGGCGCGACTCCGTGGAGTTCCTTCGTTTGCTCGACATACAATAAAGCATAAGATCAACATAAAGATCCTCTCCAAATTTTCAAAGGTATTTATTGATAAAGGTGCCACGACATTTGCCCGCATGGCACCATGTTGATAAAGGTGCCACAACATCTGCCCGCGTGGCACCATTTCTAGAAAAATGACACACCTGGCCAGTACCTGTCTGGTGTTCCTCTAAAAGGATCAAGTGATCTCGAGTTACTTAACCTATGACTGAATTTATTGAACAAGGAGGGGGTCGCCACCCTTCACTCTCTTGTGGAAGTACCCCACTCCAGTTGGATGGGTCCCTCCTCTTTTACCTCTTTCAAGGTTCCCTCCTGCATATGGAACCTCGAACATTTTAGGCCCTCACCCCGAGCCCCCTAAATTGAAAAGGCTTTGAGGTGTGGGGTCGGGACAGAACCTCGTGGGACCAAGAAGGCGAAACCCCAAGGAGGGCTCTCCTCCCCATCTCCGGACTCAGGAATCTGAGGACATGTAGACAAGTGGCTGGGATCCAATGAGTCGCCTCAATTCGGGGACAATACAAAATGAGAGGATGTTTGATACCCAAAGCCGAGCTCTGGGTAAAAGTAGACAATGCATTAAATGCAAAAAAGAGCAGTTGATATGATCCGCATTAAAGAGGGGGCACCATCACCTCTTTGGAACAGGGGGCAAAAGGCCTCGAGCCACCTTTCAATGTCCTATTTGTCAAGGGGAGAGGTCTTCGAACCCATGGGCAAGAGAGGGCTCGCCCTTGTGACTAGTGGGCATTGACTAGAGGAACGGGTATTATAAATAGAAGCATTATTCAACCATTAAGGCAAGACCATAAAAACACAACAACCAACCATCATCACCAAGCTCAAGTTATTTGGGTATTAATTACCGTATTCCCTCTCTTAATCTCTGACTTAAAAGAATCCTTGTATTGCTTGGATTCCCACTTTGATGCTGATCTCATCATTCTCGACCTACGTGGAATAATCTCATAATCGCACAAATAACTTCCATCAACAATATTCTAAGGTTTAATTGTCAATCAGGAAGAATGGACTATTACTAAATTTACTATATATTTATTACACCATATTTGATTTGTAAAATTTTAGTTTGAATTTAAATCCAACAACTATTAATTACAATACTAATAATTATCTTAAAGTACGTGTTACATGTGAGACATTTACATTTTATTTAATACTTTCATAAAAAATATATATATAATTATATCAAAGACCTAACAAGGAAGATTAGTAGTAATAAGAGATTGTAAAGACGACCAAAATAATATGCTATGAGGTTATTAGAGGAAGGCCTTCCCTCCTCCAATGAGACATTCTTATAGCGGAAAACCATCCATCCTTCATTAAGTAAAAGGGAAAAAATGATGGATGATATAATTATTTCATCACTCTATCCTCGTATGCAAATCGATACACTTAGTGAGAATAATAATGCATTTTCAACTTTATTATGTAAGCATAGTCCTTGGTCTCAATCCCTAGGGCATCGCGGCGTTGGTAAGAATACGGGAGGTAAGTTATTAAAATCTGACTTTCGAACCGCACTCCTGACTTGAATGGTGAGTGTATTATGGGGCCGATACACGTGCTCTAAGGAAAAAAAATAATTAAAAATCAGTCCCTAGTCCCATATTAGTTGTTGCCTTTTTATATTTTAATCTTGTACGTGGATATTCAATTAATGCATTCTTCCTTTAAAATTACCAAGTTATATTTTTTATTTAAATATGTATATGACCAAGTTAGGAGATTTTTGAAAACTTAATGGATAATTACGAAAATATAAATACAAATATATATATATATATGTATGTATATATATATATATGTATATATATATTACTTGTCAAATGAGACAACTATATGAGACATCAAAAAAAAAAAATGGGATAATGGAGTTTTTTTTTCTTTTTTTCTCAATCTCCTTCCAATTTTTTAATGGAAGAAAGTGGTAGCCTAAAAAGATGCATTATTTAGCTTTGAAATTTTTCAAAAATTGATTTAAGGGATTCGATTTTAATTTTAGATTTGAATTTGAAATAAGATATATTATGTATCTTCATTGAAACATCCCTAATGAATGTTAGATTGAATGTATATCTAAATAAAATAATGATTTATGGACTGAAGGTAATTACCGAATTTGATTCATATAAGTGTGGTGGTAAGTCTCACCAAATGATATCACCATGACATCATGTGATGGGATTCACCACTTCTCTCACATAAAGCGAATTCGGTAAATATCAAATTCGGTCCCTAAATCACTACTCATCTAAATAATTCTTAAAAGGATTGGGTTTTTACCCAATATCCAACTTAAATCAAGTACATACCTTAACTGGTTCGTGTTTATAATTTCCTTAGGTCGGGCATTTCCGGCCTACCAAGCGAAACCGGATAAAGATCACGTCTATACGACTAGATTCAATTTTGGTGTGGATTTTGACATTAGATATGGCATGGACATGAATTTATGTTACAAGAGAAACTTATCCCACATCGGATACTAAATGGGTATATATGGATTCGGTGTTAGTCTCACCTAATAACTTAAGTTTTTGAGTAAAATTACGAAACACCTGACCCGTTACTGTTGGTATCAGAACCAGACCCATTATTTGATCCAGTGTCACGCTAAGCGCTTGGTAAGTTTGAGTGACTAACCCGAGTATGATGGCTTAACCGCAACGAAGGTGTTACAAGTTCGGGTGAAAAGAATTTAGAAGAAGAACTTGTCTCACATCGAATTCGAATAGAGAAATAAATCGGTATATATGAATTCGGTGTTAGGTTACATAATTCTCTTATAAATTTCCTCTATTTTCAAGCCTTATTCATCATCCCATACTGTTCTTTCTCGTTTCGGCTTATCTCTCCGTGAAATATAGGCCTAAAAAGGAAGGGGAAAGAAAAAGAGGTATTGAGAGGCATTGTTTGGTAACATTTTCAATTTTCGCTTTTGTTTTCGTTTTTTTTTTTTATTATTTTTTTTTAAAAACGACAACAAAATGCATTTGATAACTCTATTTTGACTTTTCATATTTCAACACTTCGGAAATTTTTTAAAACTCTTTTCATATTTACTTCACAATTCTCAATTTTACAAATGTGAGCTTTGGTTTTCAATTTTGATTTTGAAATAATATTATTTTATTATTTTTCAAAATGAGAATTAGAGAAATGATATTTTATTATTTTTCACAATTA